TGGTACATAGTAGGTGCTCACTAACTAATAGTTCCTTTTTTTCCCCCTATTCTCTCATTCAAAATACCTCTCTGAGGGTGTACATGATCAATATAGCTAACAGTTAGCAGCTGGTTATTATGTAGCAGAGTCTCAAATTTAACATAACATTAATCATGTGTGAAATCAGTTTGGTTTCTTTATTTACCTGAGCTTTCACAATGCKTTGTCTGTAGGAATCCAAGAAGTTGAATTTCTGCCTTGAGATCCATTCCACACTTACCTGGTCTTGGAGAGACTCAGCACCCTTGTCACTGAAGTTCTGTACCTTCCTCCCTGTCCCAGAGCTGTTGTCTCTGGAAGAACTCCCAAATCCTCTCCCATGAAGGAGGTCTTATTTATCATCCATACTCTGTCCTCACTGAGCCTTAATGGCAGCTGGAGTACAAGGAGAACAAGTGRTTTATTGATATGATAACATCCATCAATCAGGAGGCATTTCAAAACTGTTACCTTTCTTAATTGCTTAATGCCTTCCACTCTCATGTTCATTGTAGACATAACTAATTAATCATCACTCTTTCTCTTGGATCCTGGGGATACTGTGGGGCTGTAGAAAGTCGCCTCAGGTTGACTGGCAATGACCCACAAATGACACTTGTTCATTCCTGGTTAAGATGTTGTAACTAATGGAGAATAWGCATTTCAACCCAGAACTCCTGGACTCCCCGAACCTTAACCCATGGAATGAATAAACCATAGTAGAAGTCCCAGCCCAATTGCAGACAGTGGAAGAGAGGCTTTTGGATACAGGGATTTTCCAGAATCCTTAACTGATGGGTGTAAAGATTTATACTGAACATATGAGGAGGTACTTTTGCATGTGTGTGTTCTATTCCTCAGGCAGTAAAAATCATTTCTACAGCTAATCTCTCTGGTGATTTCCCTCATCTTGCCCAGCCTCCATTCTAGCCTTCAGAWGCTTTTCTGCTAGAAATGGCTTTAGACCGGAAATAGTCAAGTTTCACCCCTCCCTCTCTGTACCTCTCTCCCCTCTGAGGCTATGTGGTTGTGGTAGCTGCTAACACTCGGTGTTCTATTATTAGTTCCTCGCTGGCTGTTTAGCTGCACATGATATTCTTGATGATGAGGTGAGCTTTACCCCGTGGTAGCCAGTTTACAGCTTTGCCTCCCTTACACCCCAAACAGATCCCAGAGAGGACCGATGAGATCAAGCAGATGGCCTGGTACAGATATTTACTACCACAAAAACAACCCAGTAGAACCATCCTATTGATAGGTGGATTTATTTTAACAACAACCATTTTTTTTTCTAACGTCCAATCATGGCTTCATAATTTTAGAGAGACTAGAATAGCTATGCCTGCAAATATAAAAACTCACCCTTCTGTAAGGAGACAGGAACTGGGTCCTTATCTTCCCTCACTTCTGTGTCAACTAGCATAGCACCTGGCCCAGTTTTCATACTCCCGAAATAATGRTTGTACCAATTTTGAAATGAATTTCTTGCTTTTCTGTGTAATGATCAACTGGATTTTTTGGCCATTCTGTAACAGGAGAAGCGCTTGATATGATACCTGAACTTGAAGAGTTAAATTTGTCCTGGAATAGTAAAGTGGGAGGAAACTTGCCTCTGATTCTCCAGAAGTTCCAAAAAGGGAGCAAGATACATGTCCTTGAACTAATGGATTGTGCCCTCACATCAGAAGATGGGGCATTTGTGGGTAAGTGGAATTTGGAAGAACTTTTCCYAGGGAAAAAAGAATGGGAAGATGTCCATGATTGGTAGCTTGGGAATCTACATTTGCTGGGCTTTCTCTTACCCTGTATTTTAAGGGAGGCTCACTCTATCCTCAGGTCTCTGGAAACTTCATTCTCTCTCCTTCTTTCCCTGGACTTTCACATGCTATGTTTTTACAGTGTTGCTCTTCTTGTTTGGATTTCCTGTCTTCCAGGTCGGTTGCTACCCAAGCTGCAAAGTCTTGAAGTACTTGATCTTTCCATTAACAGAAACATCGGTGGTAGTCTCAACAGTATTGCTCAGGGATTACAAAGTGCCTCAACTCTGAAAGTACTGAAGTTACATTCATGTGGATTATCACAAAAGAGTGTCAAAATATTGGGTGCGTTAACAACATATCTATAAAATATAAAATTATCATAAACCATCAGTATAGATGATGCACAAATACATATTTAAAAGCTCTTAGGAAATAAAACAAAAGGTAAGCAGTAGATATATTGGGGAATACAATTATGGATGGGTAATTTAAATATTCTTCATGTTTTATTTATTTTATTAATATTTTACAGTAAACATATCATGATTACAAAAATAAACTTTTGAAATGGCTGATTCTGAAAAGGCAGGATATTTTAGGCATGAGATAAGAGAGTRGAAAAGGGAAAAGTTTTTGTGATACTATAGCTGGCAGGTTTTCCGTGTCTTTGAAAAACTTCAGCATTATTTTATGCTCAGTGGTAGGAAGGAATTGGTATTGATAAAAATAATGGCTTCAATGGTGTCTATGGTTAAAACATTGCCCTGTGTGAAGTCTCCAGGTCRTAGAGCATGACACTGTGTTTTTTCCTCTGGCTTACAGAGCCTGTAATATCCTTCTCCTGGCAACTTGATAAGTCCAAGAGTCCACAGAAACTCCATTGCTCAAGTATAGTTGGGGGGCATATAGTTGTAAGATTCAGGTCAGAACCACTGGTCATCCATGCAGATGTCAGGGAGCATGTATGTGGAATCATGTCAGATCCACACAGCACCAGCTGGCGGAAGTGTACTTACTGGTATACCTCCTTTTGGCTTTTATCAACACGGTGTGCTCAGTCAGCCTCTCTTCCTGCAGCACTTCTGCCTTCCTTGTCACATACCTTCCTACCACCTTAAAATATGTTAAAATGCCATTTTGACTCTTTTTAGATGCCGCTTTTAGATACTTGGGTGAACTGAGGAAATTAGATCTTTCCTGCAATAAGGAGCTGGGTGGAGGTTTTGAAGATGCATCAGCCCCACTGGTCATGCTAAAGCATCTGGAAGTCCTAGATCTTCACCAGTGCTCACTAACAGTGGACGACATAATGTCACTGAGTAAGTATATTCTGTAAAGGAGAGACTTTGGGGAACTTGGAAAATTTGAGATGTACATTTAAATTTAGTTTTTATGAAGTTATTGGAAGGAGCAAATTATCAAAGTTCTGGAACTATCTCAACACAGTGTTTAGCATATACTGAATGCTCAGTAAATGTTATTGAGTCTAGATTCCTCCTATGCACGGCTGTAAATGATAGATTTGGCACTTGGAGAAAAATTTGAATTTATGTTTCTGCTTAGCAATGAATCTTTTAGTGTCACGAAGCTGATTACAAACAGGTATGTAGAGAGAATGCCAAAATGATGTTCAAACTTGCCCAGTAAAGTCAAGCCACTCAAACAAGTGATGCTACAGAAAAAGAGCCAGGTAGTGGTACGTGATGGGTAAACATAATGGCTCAAGATAGGTTCACTTATTTCCCTACCATAAACATAGGTCTGTTGTTGCAACATGTTGTATGTGAATGCAATTTCCCACAGCAAACAGAGCAAGCATAGCCTTGAGATTAAGGGTTTTATTTTTATCCATGGCCACAATAAACCTTGAGCACACATTTGGAATCTGAGCACGGCTTACCATATAAACCTCTACTAGCTGAGGCCCCTGCCATCGCATGCCTAGATTATTACAAGATCCAAACAGTCTCCCTGTTCCCGCCCCCACTCTGCTTGAGTTCTCTACCCCTTTTCATTTACTCCACCTGGCCATGCTATCCTTCCTCACCTCTAGACACACCAGGCATGCACTGGCCTGGGGGCTTTTGCTCTTGCTCTCTCTGGACCATGGGCAACTCCAGGGTCAGTATGTGTCTCATTAGGCACCTGCACATTGCTCAAGCACAGGCACCTGCATATAGTTGGTCCCCAATATATGCATGTTGAATATATGAATAAATGAATAGATGAATGGCAAGCATGAATAAATATAATTGTAAAAAAATTTTAGTACAATTTGGGAGAAAAATAGTAAAATAGGTTTTCAGGTTTAGCATCTATCCTGTAGAACTGCTAAATTATTTCTCAGGTCCTTATCCCTTGATTTGGGGAAATGAGAAAATTTAAAGGTTTTTATGAAGATTTCTGAAGTACAAAAAAGAAAATTCCTTTGAGCCCTACATGGAGCATTATGTGGTGTTACCATCCCCTTGACCTATCAGAGCTGAGAGTCACACCTAAGGAGACAGGTGAGTTTTCAGGCCTCTGGATTCCCTTGGTGGAACCAAATAACATGAGTATCGCATCTTATCTTATTAAATAAGGTGGATAAGAGAAAGATTAAAGTGCTAGAGGATCTCCATGGCTACCACCAGTATAACTGAGGGATAATCCTTCCTTATCCAGGTCACAACCACTAATATGGATGAACAGCCTCAGAAAGCCAACTATTACGTAATAACTGGAGCAAATGGTATTGTCCACCTTCTACTTAATTTTTAAAGGCTGGAAATGCTTCATGACGCTAAATCACTGAACATTCATTTGTCTGATTGTTGCAGATAATTCCAAAGAAACTGAATTGTAGATCATTTGGTCAATAACTGTTGATTAATCTTCTAATTGTGCGAGGCACCATGCCATGGTCTACGGGAAACTCAGACAATCAAAGAGCTTCAGTATGGTAGCGGCAGGAATAAAAACAATCCCTATCCGGATTACACGGTGAGGTGGGGGTATTCAAGATGCTGGAAGAGGAGGAAGCAGTTCCACCTGTTGGGATGAAAACTCCCTGCCCGGCCTGCCTTCCCTTCCTTCGCTTCCCTCCTTGCACAAGCTTTTGTACCTCTGATCCCCATCCTGGGTACTGATCCCCATCCTGGGGTCGAGGTAGTCCCCCATACCTAGAACTTTCCTTCAATGAGGGAGACAGAAAACAAATACTAAACAAGAAAATATCACCCACAACAGTGGGTGCTGTCAAATAAAAAATAGGGTGATGTGAAGTGACCATGGGCTTACATTAGCTTGGGTGGCCATGGAAGGATCTGAGGAAATGAGCCAGCCTTCTGAAGATCCCAGGATACTGCATTTCCCATCTTGGTAGAGCTGGGGCAAAGGCCTGGGGGCAGGAAATACAGCACAGGATAGTGAATTAGGGGTAATAGGAACCACTCTGGTGCTGTTACTGACAGGTGCCCTGATTGCTTGGTTTCAATGCCTTCCTGCTTCCTAATACTTATATTCACCCCAACTTCCCTGCTTTTTTTTTTTTTTTTTTGTACCAGGGATTGACTCCAGTGGCATTTTATTACTGAGCCACATCCTCAGCCCTTTTTATTTTTTTATTTTGAGATGAGATCTTGCTGAATTGCTTAGGGCCTTGGTAAGTTGCTGAGGCTAGGTTTGAACTCACAATCCTCCTGCCTCAGCCTCCYGAGTTAAGGGATTACAGGTGTGTGCCACCACACCTGGCCTGGTACTTACATTCTAAGAAAAGAATGATATCAAACTTTAATATGTGTCAGGTACTGTACCAAGTACTTTGCATAGACCAATTCCTATCTTCCTAATGATCCTGTGAAGGATGTGTTTTATGGTTGAGAAAACAAAGGTTCAGAATGGGTAACTTGTTCCAAATCACACTGCTCTTTAGTAGTAGGATCCAGGACTGGAGCCCAGTTCTTTCTTTTCTCCAAAGTCTTTGTTCTTAACCTCTCTAGTCTGGGGAGAGGCTTTGAAGCAGAAAAGCCCGAGTGGCTTCCTGGGAAGAGGCTGGTTTGGAAGGTGTAAAAAGGACAAAGTCACACTGGGGAGAGTTGGTTGACTGTTCAGTTAAGAGGATTGTGACAACCCAACACTGGATGGGTCTGTGAGATGGTGCCTAAAACATGTCACTGTTGGTATTTTAACAGCCCAGATTATCCCTTTACTCTCCAATCTTCAAGAACTGGACTTATCGGCCAACAAAAACATGGGCAGCTCTTCTGAGAACCTACTCAGCAGGCTCCGATTTTTACCCGCATTGAAGTCGTTACTCATAAACAACTGCGCTTTGGAAAGTGAGACTTTCACAGCTCTCGGTGAGAGAATTGCCCAGATCCCTGCAGGCACCACGCAATAACGGGGGAGGGTCCATGCTCTCTTTCTCTATGCACAAATTTCATTCCAAAGCTCAAGCCACAGGTACAATGAGGTACGTAGTCATGAAGTTTATGACTATAGTTTGTCTTCTTAGGAAATATGCCCTCTTACAAGTGATCTTCTCAAGGCAAATGATTCTGGAAACTGCAGATTTTATATTTTAAATTTACCTTGTATATAACCAACTCTGGAGGGGTCTACACCCATGATAACTTAAAATTTTCCAGAAGTTTCCATCTGAATTGAGACTGCAGTACATTGATGGAAGGTGTGTGAGTCTTGCTGACTGAGTTCACTTCCTCACAGTTCTTTTTTTTTTTTCTTTTCAGTATTGAGGATTGAACCCAGGGTGCTCTACCACTGAGCTACATCCCCCAACCCCCTTTTTATTTTTTATTAGGAGACAGGGTTTTTCTAAGTTACCCAGGCTGCCCTTGAACTTGTGATCCTCTTGCCTCAGCCTCCCGAATTGCTGAGATTGTGGGTGTGCACCACGGCACCCAGATCCCCACAGCTCTTGCTGTTCTTTCTCAGGAACCTGGGTATGCCTCAAGTTCATGGATATACCAACCTAGATCAAGGGCCTACTGGATCTGAAATTTCTGCCTATTTAGGAGCAAGAGTATGGTCAGCAAGTAGAAGGAGATATTTTGAGGCAAAAGGACTTTGTAGCGTTTTTCAAAATATACCACCTGGGCAACCAGCACTTTGTACTGTGGTGCTGGAGGCCCCCAACTGCAGCTCCCGGTTCAGTGATTCACTAGGAGGACTCAGGTTTCAGCATGCCATTGCACTCATGGCTAAGACTTATTACAGTGAAAGGATACAAAGCAAAACTGACAAAGGGGAAGGTAGACAGGACAAAGTCCAGAGGAAACCAAGCACAAGATTCCAAGAGTCCTTTCTCAGAGGAGCCATACAGGGCACACTTAATTCCTCCAGCAGTGAGTTATGATGACATGTGTGACATATCATCTCCCAGTGGAGCTTGCCTGAACTTCCTAAAAGTTCAGGGTTTTTATTGAGGCTCAATCATATAGGCCTCCTCTGCCTGGCACACTCCAAAATTCCAGACTCACAGAAGGAAAGCTGATGTTCAGCATAAATCATAAGTACAAACTGATTGGGCATAGTGATCTAGCCTTATCAGGGAATGGTAAGAACATTCCCCAACTCCAAGCTCCCACATGCCAGCAAAGGGCATGGTCAGTAGCAGGCCTTTTTCGGGTAGGAGTCTCAGGCTTACTATGTTACCTCTTTTTTGCACACGAGCACGAGACTAAAGCCATTGGATCGTGCATGTGGCTAAAGCCATTGGATCCGGGTACTTCCTAAGTAGTGATGAAAACAGAGTCCTCCCCTCTGACCCTTTCTCAAGTGCTATGCCAGTTGACACTTCATGAAAAGTGTATTGTGCTGTGGACCAGACAAGGGCTATTACTAATGAAATGCATTCTATTAATAAAAATAAATACATATCACTCACTCCAAATTCTAAGGGCACTGCTGACTTCCGATGCATTCACCCATGTAGACCCTGGTCCTTGTCATTACTGCTCCCAAGCTGTGATCTTTCATCTCTGTGCCATGTGTCTGGATAGGGAGAAATCCCAGGTCATGTTCCTATCAGACCTGGCATTCTTTATCTGGGGTCACAGAGAGTCCATAGGTATGCTCAAGGGGGCCCATCTATGAGCTCCCTAAAATTGATCACAATTATTCTGTGTTGGGGGAGTGTTTGGTACATTTCCTGCCCCYCAAAACGCCTGGAATTCAGTCTGCCTGAAATCAAATCCTGACTGTGGCTCTTGAGACCTGTGGGACCTCAGGTATTTAATATTATTGCTCCATGTTTCACTTTCCTCATCTGTAAAATATAAGATGAAAAAATAGTACATACCTCACGAGGTTGTCAGAATTAAGTGGGTTCATGCATGTAAAGTTCTTAGAAAGCTCCTGGCTGTTCAATAAATGTTCAATAAATGTCAGTTGTTGATGTTATTATGGGGAGAGAGTCTATAAATTTCATTTTTAAAGCAAATAGTGTTGGATCACTGCCCTGTTTAAAAAATTCAGTGTCCTTCCTGTCGCACCTCAGGTGATACCCCCATTCCTCAATGTGGTTTAAATGGCCCTAGTGATCTAGCCTCAGTACCTTGACTATTCTTTTCTTTGCTCTCTGAACCCAACCTCAGTTGGATTCTTTCTGTTCCTTCATGTCACACAAGACCATCCTGTTCTCTGTCGTGCCCTACCTCCAATCCCTACTCTTTCCTGGGGAGTTTTGRCTCAATTTTCAGGTCCCAAGAAAACAGAACACATAAAAATGTCTCTTGTTATCTAAATTAGGAACCTGTTTATAACCTTCATCAAAATTTATAATTATGTATTTTATTGTGTGGTTGTTTAATGTCTATATTTCTTTTAGATTGTAATCTCCTTGAGGGGAGAGATTGTGTTGATTCTTTATTGCATACCTGAAGCACATTTTAGGTACTATCTACACTTAGTTAAGTTAGTTAACATTAGTTAAGTTACTAAATAAATAAACAAACTTCTTAAAAGGGTCTGTAATTCATCAAATGGTTAGGTAGGCATGACACACTCTACTGCTTAGACTAATTTAGATAAGTTCCAAAAAAGAGTAAATTTGGGGTCAGCATAATATTTCATAAATATAATTCCAGTAGGGAAAATAATTTTTTTAAGAAAAAGAAAAAAATATTGAAGAAATCAAGCTGTCCAAAGATACATGACTTTTTAATTCTAGCTGCACAATGAATCATGATCAAGTAGATATTACACTGAATTATATCATCCAACATAACTCTACCCACTCAATTTAAATTAACCTAATGGGTAGATATACTATAAATCACTTTTTATTTATTCATTTATTTATTTTGTGGTAGTGGGGATTGATTCCAGGGCCTTGCATAGGCTCAGCCAGCACTCTACCGCTGAGCGGCACCCCAAGCCTTTTTTAGTTTTTGCTTTGAGACAGGGTCTTCTAAGTTGCCCTGGGCTGGCCTCAAATTTGCAATCCTCCTGCCTCAGTCTCCCAAGTAGTACTCTACATTTCTTCTTTAAGAAAAGTTTGATTTTTCTTTATTGTACATCTTTGTATCATAAGTGAGAGAGATTTTCTTACAACATACTACAAGAATAGATATTTTCCTTTGAACACATATTATTGTTTATTCTTTTTATTTTGATATTGGGGATTAAACCCAGGGGTACTTTACCACTGAGTTACCGCTCCAGTCCTTTTAATTTTTCATTTTGAGACAGGGTCTCAGTAAGTTGCTCAGGGCCTCACTGAATTGCTAAGACTGGCCTCTAACTTGTGATCCTCATGCTCAAAACTCACTAGTCGCTGGGATTACAGGCATGCACCATAGCACCTAGCCATATTGTTCTTTAGAAAGAAAACAGAGCACAAAAAGTGTTTTTAATTACTATGCTTGGGAATAAGTTGTTCTGGTTAATTCTAACTCTAAGGTCAACTGAGAATCAAGCAGAAAATGTTTTCATTTTCTTTAAAAACTTTCCAGAATACATGGGTTCTTTTCCTTGCCTCAGTAATTGCAGTGAAGTAAACCCAAATATATCTTGTTGTTCCAGAGCCTTCGGGAGGCTTATCCCCATCTCTCTCTGACTTTCAGCAGTGACTGTACAGTGGAGCATGTAACCAGCCAGGGCATGCTCTGAAAATCTTGATTAGCTCTCCAAGCACTTTCCCTTTTTCTCCTTCCCAAATATGAAGAAAAAGAGAGAAAAACCCCCAGTCAATAGTGAATTCCATTTAATCACGTTTTACTGTTCTGAAGTTTCCAATGTATTCCCAACTAAAAATCATCAATATAAATTGACGCCATGAATTTCAGGCCGGAGAAAACAATCTCTACAACTTTCTCCACCCTGAGTATATTAATATGTTGTCTTGGTCTATGCTCCTCAAGTTCAAGGCTTATGATATCTAAGTTATTCTTATCATTATCACTTTTAGTCGAAGCCTCTATTCACCTCCCCGCTCTGGAAATAGTCAACCTTTCTTGGAATAAATGTGTTGGTGGCAACCTGAAAATGCTTCTGGAAACACTAAAGCTATCAACATCTCTTCAAGTGCTGAGGCTGAGCAGCTGTTCCCTGGTGACAGAGGACGTGAAACTCCTGGGTTTGTATCAAATCATTCCAAGGCAGTCTTGGCATGCAGAGCACAGGGAGGGGGGAGGGGGAGAAGGCAGGAGGCCTGGGGCTAAGGTCCAGGTAAGCTTCCCCTTTCCCCAAAATCTGTCTAGGAGAGGTCTGGTTAAAACGAGGGACAATTCTAAAAGCAAATGGCAGGGGTTGAGGTTGTGGCTCAGTAGTGGAGCACTTGCCTAGCACATGTGAGGTTCAATCCTCAGCACCACATAAAAATACATAAATAAAATAAAGGTATTGTGTCCAAAAAAATAAATAAAAGGAAATGACATTAAAAGTGTTTCATAAGAGGAGATGGATATAGATAGGTGAGGAGGTGCCTGTCAGGAAATAGCTTTTGCTCCACACCCTCCCATATGTTGAGTCTTCAGTGTTCACACATCCATCATTTTACTTCCACGAGGTTTGCCCTAACCACACGGTATTTGCACTACTACTTAATTTTGCCTCTGAATTGACTCTTGCTTTATTTAGATAGAAAACTGGCCAAGCATGGTGGCACATGCCTGTATTCTCAGCTACTCAGGAGGCTGAGGCAGGAGGAACAGTAGAGGCTGTTCTGGGCAACTTAGACCCTTCAAAATAAAAAAATAAAAAAGGCTGGGGATGGAGCTCAGTGATAGAGCTCCCCTTTCGCACCCCAGATTTCACTCTAGTACAAAATAAATAAATGAATAAAATAAGCCAAAAATATATAGGAAGTTAGAACACAATTTTCACACTGAAATATGTGTTAATTCTCATACAGATTAAAATTATGCCTGTTGAAGACTGTGAGAAGAGGTTAATTCTCTCTTTGCAAATCAATAGAAAAATAAATAAATCTTTCTCCATGTCAACTTAGAAAGCTATAAGGAGAATTGAATAACTTTTGTACTGTGAGATTCTAGGCAATGTAATACCTGAAATCACTAGGCAGGTCCACTTCCCCTTGGGAAATGATGAATTGGAGAGTCTCTGTTTCCTATATTTCCTTGTCCCCACACCCCCATTTTATTCAGCCACCAACTTTCAGATCTCTGAAGCCATGAGCACCCATGGAAATGAGGTAGCTGTGTCTATGTTCTCAGTGTTTACCACCTGTTCTGCTATGAGAGGACACCTGTGCCTAAAAATCACGTGCTATGCAAAAATCACTCCGTAATAACCACAGCGTTTATGGTTAGAGGCACAGCACTTGAAACTTCATCAGTGACACATAGGAACTAGTAGAAATACCAGTAGACTTGTTTTCTGTGTTAAATTGGCTAAGAAATACAGAAATAACAGTGAATATGGCACTTTGAAAAGATCTAAAGTTTGTCTGTGGAAGGAGAATTACCTGAGGTAGAATAGTAAGTTCCAACACCAGATGTGGTTGAGTGAGCATTGTTGTTCGCCTGAGGTGTGTTCGTGTGTACAGATTTATTCCCATGAGCAGCTGGGGTGGTTTTATACGTTCACCTGGTGTTTCCTGTTGGTCATTGTGCAAAACAAAGAAGGAATTTGCATTATGCTCAAACTGTTCCCTGAGATTTCAATCTAGTTGGAAGAAAGTTGCATTCTCAAAACAAATGTTATAACAAAAATGATTGTGATTAGAAGATTGGGACAAAACATTGTGATTTTTATGTGTATTTCCCTAGTGATCGATGATGTGAAAATCTTTTTGTGTGCTTATTTGTCAACTGTACATCTTCTTTGGTGAAGTGTCTGCTCTAAATATTTTGCCTAATTTAAAAAGTTGGATCATTTGTTTTCTTATTAATGACTGTTGAGATCTGTCTTGATTTCCTGGACATTAAGTCCTTTACCAAATACGTCATTGGCAAGTATTTTCTCTGATCTGCTTTTCATTCTCTTTAACTGTTTTTTTGCAGAGCAAAACCTTCAGTTTTGGAGTAGGTCTATTTATATTTTTGTTAATTTGTTGGATAGAGCTTTTCTGTGTTTCAACTTAGAACTTTTTGAAAATACAAAACTCTCAAGGATTTTTTTCCGGTATTTCTAAAAGTTTTATATTTACATTTTACCTGTTATCCATTTGAGTTAATTTTATATGAGATGTGAGGTATGAATAGAAATTAGTGTTTATTTCATATGACTTTCTAATTATTTGAATACTGTTAATTGAAAAAAAAAAAAACCTCTCCTTTCTCCATTGCATTTCCTTTGTATTTTTGTAAAAATTCAACTAGCCCTATTTGTGAGGGTCTATTTCTGACCTTTCTTTTCTGCTCCATTGATCTATGTCAATATTATTTTACCAATATCACACTGAATTGATTTACTTTACGTCTTGAAGTCAGGCAGTATGAGTGTTCTGACTTTGTTCTTTTTCAAAAGTATTTTGTTTTTTCTAATTCCTTGGCATCTTCATATAAAGTTGGACTCATATTGTCAATATCATTTTTAATCCTCATGGAAATTTGATTTGAACTCCATTGAATATATAGACCAATTCAGGGAAAAATGACATTTTGACAATACTGAATATTCCAATCCATGAACATATTATATCTCCCTATTAAGGTACTCTTTGGTTCTTTCATTGTTGTTTCATAACTTGCTGTATAGATCCTGCACATATTTTATTAAATTTATATCTGAGTATTTAATTTTTATGGTACTATTATAAGAGGTACTATTTAATTTTTGAATCCAAATTAATCATTGCTAATGTGTGGAAATACAATAGATTTTTTTAAAATTTATTATTTTTTTTTTTTTAGTTCTGGTTGGACACAATACCTTTATTTTATTTACTTATTTTTTTATGTGGGCCTGAGGATTGAACCCACATATGCCAGGCAAATGCTGTACTGCTGAGCTACTACCTCAACCCCTACAATTGATTTTTGAATACTGATATTTTATACTGTAATGTTGTAAATTTTTATACTTGTAATGTTGCTGATCATCTATTATTTCTAGAAGATTTTTGGCAGATTCTGTAAGATTTTCCACAATCATGTCATCTATGATGAAAGAAAGTTTTATCTTTCTTTCCACTCTATGTATCTTTTCCTTCTTTTTCTTGGTTATTTCACTAAGATTTCCAGTAGAWGTTGAATGAGATGAAAGCAGATATCCTTGCTCTGTTCCCAATCTTAGGTGGAAAGAATTCAGTCTTTTCCCTCATTAAATACAATGTTAGCAGTCGGTTTTTTGTAGCTGCCTTTTGTCAGGTAAGGAATCCTAATTCATTAAGTGTTCTTATAGTGGATTAAAGATAGATTTTGGCAAATGCTTTTTCTATGTCGAGATGAGCAAGTGTTATGTTTTTAAATCTTTGATCTGTTAATATTGTGAATAATATTGATTTTCAAATATTAAATCAGCCTTACATTCCCAGGGTAAGCCCCATTCTGATGTTATGTTTTTGTTTTTTTTTACATACTGTTGAATTTGATTTGCTAATATGTTGTTGGGATATTTGTGTGTTATCTTTATGAAGGATAACGATCCCATTGTTTTCTTATAATGTCTTTGTCTGGCTTTAGTATCAAGGTACTAATGGTCTCATATGATGAGTTGGAGCATGTTCCTTCCTCTTTTATTTCCTGAGAATATTATATAGAATTGGTCTTATTTCCTTCCTCAGTCGTTTCACAGAAATCACCACTGAAGTCAGCTAAAGGTGAAATTTTCCTTGTGGAATGTTTTAAATTATAAATTCAATTTCAAAAATTGATAAAATTGGGGGCTGGGGATGTGGCTCAAGCGGTAGCGTGCTCGCCTGGCATGCGTGCGGCCCGGGTTCGATCCTCAGCACCACATACAGACAAAGATGTTGTGTCCGCCAAAAACTAAAAAAATAAATATTAAAAATTCTCTCTCTCTCTCTCTCTCTCTCTCTCTCTCTCTCTCTCTCTCCTCTCTCACTCTCTCTTAAAAAAATTGATAAAATTACTCATATTATCTTCTGTAGTAAGTTTTGATAGTTTGTGTCTTTCATTTCACCTAGGTGGTTGAATTTATAGAAATTAAGTAGTTCCCTTATTATCCTTTTAATGACCGTTGCTATATACTTTTCCTCATTGCTGATATTGAAATGTGTATTTCTATCCTTATTTTCCCTTGACTAGTCTGACTAAACGTATAGTTTTCCATTGCTGTGTAACAGATTAATTTGTACCTTCAAACAATATCCATGTATTTACTCCCAGTTCCATAGATCAGAAGTCTGGCATGGCTTGTGTGTTCTGTGTTCAGAAAACCACGAGGCTAAAACCAAAGTGTCAGTCTGGTCCTGGGGATGAATCCACGTTCAAGCTTGTTCTTGTGGGGCAGACTCTAGTATCTTCCAGCTGTAGGAATGAGGTCCTCACTTTCTTACTAGCTCTCAAATGGGGACTGCTGTCAGCTCCCAGAGGATGCCCACATTGCTGGGTACTTGGATCCCTTGTATTCAAGCCAGCGAAACAGTTTCTGAGCTTCTCATCCTTCAAACCTCTCACCATTCCTAAATGACCTCCTTCCTCCTCTGCCTCCAGCAGGAGAAAATGCTCTCTTTTTAAAGTGAGGGTATGATTAGGTTAGCTCCACTCTCCCTTTCTTAATATTACCTGCGCCATTTCATGTAACTTATTTATAGAAGCAAAATCTATCATATTCACAGTCCTGGAGAGTAGGGTGGAAATTTGGGGGGTCCCATCATAGAATTCTGAGTACCACAGATGTTCCTCAATGTTACCAATCTTCTGAAAGAATCAGCTTTTTAAAAGTCTATTTTCTGAATTGGATACCATTAAAATATATATTTTATATTAACTAATAAAAATATATATTTTAAATATATGTATTTTTAATGGTATCCAATTCAAAAGATGTATATCAAGAGAGATAACTATGTATGTGTATTTGCTATGTATATATATAGTTATATGCATATGTTACCTATATATATAGTTATATATATTTGTTTATTTATATTTATTTATTTTTGGTACTGGGGAATCGAACCCAGGGATGCTGTACCACTGAGCTATATCCTTAGCCCTTTTATTTCTTTTTTAAAATTTTTAAAAATATTTTTTGGTACTGGGGATTAAACCCAGGAGTGCTCTACCTAATGTAGTTCAGCCCTTTGTTTATTTTTTAAAATATTTTTTTTTACTTGTAGATGGACACAATACCTTTTATTTATTTATTTTTATGTGGTGCTGAGGATCAAACCCAGTGTCTCACACATGCTAGGCAAGCGCTTCACCACTGAGTCACAACCCCAGCCCCATCTTTTGTTTATTTTTTTATTTTGAGACAGGGTCTCACAGAGTTGGTGAGGCTGGCCTTGAACTTGTGATACTCCTGTCTCAGCCTCCTGAGTTAACAGATGTGTGCCACCAGGCCAAGCTTGAAACCATTAAATATACATAAGTTTAGTTATTTTATTTAAAGTTTACAATTAAAATTTATTTCTTTAATTCATTTTATTTGGGTCGACATCAAATTTTATCAATTATACCTTCAGTCATTGTATGTTTTTCTTAATTTTTGCCGCTAGTTTTTTTCCCTTACATAAAATTTATACTTTTACATTTGTCAGGGATATTTTTTATTTCTTTCAATTTTTAGGAGCAATATTACTAAATGTGGGTTTAGCCTTTGCCACTTTTATATTGCTTTCTTTCTAACAGAAACATTAAGGATTTGTTAATCACTGGTAGCTGGTGTTCATTTCCTTTATAAACAAACATTTTTTCCCCATAGAGTAGACTACAAAGCAAATATTTACATGACCCACAATTCCACTACCCAGATCTTTAAAGATATAATAAATATAAAATATTAAAAAATAATACTGTAAATAGGGTGCTCACATATGGAAAATCCAAAAAGGATAGAAAAATGAGTGAGATTTGCTTTAAAAATACTTTTTAAAAAGGAGAGGGTAGACGAAAGAGGATTATATGAGGCAAAATTAGTGTAATGAAGACAACTGTTGAGGCTGAACGCTGGGACAGGGCAGCCACACTCTCCTCTCTAATTGTTGTATATTTGATAATTTCCATAATTCAACCCCCTCACCCCCACCCCTGCCACCAGATGAGTTGCTTAGGCTGTTGCTTAGGCTGTTGCTTAGGCTGGCCTTTAACTCCTCGGCCATAAAAGCACACACCACTACACTCTGCTACAAACTTTTCTAAAGAGTGGGGGGAAAACATGCACGCTGTCTTTAACATAGGTCAGATCTTGAGAATACTGTGAGTAATGTTGTGAGATAAGACATTAAGGTGACACACACACTGAAACCGACACTTAGGGACAGACAGCAGCTCTTGAGTGTTCAGACGACTGAGCTCTCCAGCGCCCCCTGTTGGCGAGTGAAAGAGATGGGGTTGGAGTGCCCTACTTGATCTGGGATCCATGATGGGTGAGAAGTGATTGAAAGACCAGGGCATGGTTAGTCCTCACAGTGGAATTTGAGGCAGACCTGACTGTTGTCCAACACTGCAGGACTCGCATGAGAAGGAGGAGCTGAGTTTTCCAGCTAACCAGCAGAACTGATGGGTGAAAGTCACTGGGAGCAGACAGGGGGCCCAAGAAGGGATTCTTCCTGCTAAAGTGGCTTCCCAATGAACTTGAAAGGATGGTTCAGGTGGAGTCATGGTAGTCACCCATAGAGGGCTGTCAAAGGGATTCCTCTCTAGTCATTGCTCTGGAGGTTGAATGGGGAGTCTTTCATGATCCCTTGACACTCCAAGATACCTTGGCTGAAGAGGAAAGAGTGTGCTATTTGCCTTGGGTATCTCTCCCACCTGTTCTTGCAGAAGTTGTTATCTTCTCTTAGTTTTATCATAACTATTATTTATTAAGTGCCTTTATAGAATCTATTATGGAATATACTATTCAAAGGGGGAAATTGTCCTGTGTACTAGTGATCTCTAAAGTGAAATTATCCAAGTATGTTTTGCACACTGAAAGTGCTTGGTTAAATAATTATTGAATGAAGAATGATGGAATGAATGACTAGGAAATAACTAAACAGTATTAAACAACAAGAAGACTATTTACAAGTGGTCCTGAATTCATGCCAATGAATCGTCTCTCCAGACGTTTAAGTCTGAAGGAAAACCGGGGTCCAGGGAGGCAGAGAGCAGGAACCGGACAAAAATGAAATTTTTTGGGTTGAGATTTCGAAAAATGAAAAAAAAATCCATTTTCAAACTGTAAATGGCATGTACAGGAGAAATTTTGTTCAGATGCCTGAGTAAAAGCTGTTAGTTAGAAACAAATTATTACTAATTACTAATATTGTCATTATTAATCCCAGAGATGCCGTGTTATGTGAAATAGGAAACAACAAGGGTAGAAAATATTATTTCTTAGTGTTGGGAGCAATACTCATTTTGTTTTGCAGCATCAGTTATACGGATGGGACATCTGACCAAACTGCAGAAGCTTGACCTGAGCTATAATGATGGCATCTGTGATGCAGGATGGGCCATCTTCTGCCAAAACTTGTGGTTCCTCAAAGAGTTAACAGAGCTGGATATTAGCCTTCGGCCATCACACTTTCGGGACTGTGGACGTTGGTTTAGATACCTGTTATGTGCTGTGACCAAACTCCCTGAAATCACTGAGATAGGAATGAAAAGATGGACCCTCCCAGCCTCACAGGAGGAAGAACTAGGATCCTTTGACCAAGATCCCAAAAGAAGAGGCATTCACTTTGACCATGGTGGGTTTCGGTAAACTGGCTTCTTAGGTCTTACTTAGCTAGGAACAATTCTCTAGAGCAGGAAAAGAGTATGAGCAAATTCCAGTGTCATCAACTGAGTATCAACTTGTGGTTGTTTACTGGGACTTATGTTACAAGAGCTTTGTAAATATATGTAGCTAATAATTCAATTCCAGCATGTCTTTATTCTCTGTCTTATGAAAAAAGGATGACATTTTTCAACAGATTTTGTTTTGGATATATAATTAGTTCACTTACTATTTAGAAAGCCTACCAAACATGTTGAGATTCTGATAGAGTGTTTGCTTTCTTCTTACTCTGAAATTTTTTCTTTCTTGTTTTCCTATTCATGTTCTAAATATAAAGGTGTGTGTGTGTGTGTGTGTGTGTGTACCTAAATGCACATAAATGTGAATCTAATGTGAAAGAAACTAGCTGTGTAAAAGTGCTATGTTATCTTTGCTATTATAACATAAAACTTTGTTGTGTTGCATTTTTCTCTCAGATATAAACTATGTACACTAATAATGGCCATTGATATATAAATCTTGGTTAAAAGGTAGCCAAAAATTCAAAATCCTGCATGAAAATCACATCTCATTAAAATAAAGTAAAATATTTTATAGTTACAACAAATTGTTAACTTATCACCTCTGGGTATTTCTTATTACTAATTCATTAATAAAAAACTTTTGTGTTTCTCTAAGCAATTTTTGAAAAAAAATTTTTCTTGAAACCAGGCTTGGTGGCACACACACACCTGTAATCCAACAACTCAGGAGGCTGAGGCAGGAGGATTCCATGTTTGAGTCCAGATTTAGCAACTTATTGAGGCCCTAAGCAACATAGAAATACCCTGCCTCAAAATTAAAATGAAAAGGGATGGGGAAGTATCTTAGTAGTTAAGTACCCCTGGTTTCAATTCCCTATACTTCACCCCCAATATTTTTGTTTTTGTTTTTCTTATACTACTGCATCAAAGCCATTGCAGAGCAGAGATGTTTGCATACACATTTCTGTTCTGATACCATCAAATCACATTATGTCTTGCTTTTCTCTAGCTACAATATAATTAGGATTGCAATCATTGCTTAGAAAACATGTAAATTTTAAATCAGTACTACTTCAAAAGAGTCATCAGGGTGAGTGGTTTTGAGGGCTATAGAAGGGCATATTTTGGTTAATGTGATATTCTCTTCCCTGTGCAGTGCCATGAATTTCATAAACATCTATGCTTATGCAAATATCTGTGTATGAATGTTCATAGCAGCTTGATTTGTAATAACCCCAAACTGGAAAGAACCCAATATCTTTCAGCGAATGAATGCTTAAACAAACTGTGGTCTATGTAATATATTCAGAAACAAAGAGGAATAAACTTAATACATGCAATATTTTGGATGAACTACTAGTGATTATGCTAAGTAGAAAAAAGTCAATCTTAATTACAAATTGTGTGATTCCATTTATATGACATTCTTGAAATAATGGGATTTTAGAGATGGAGAACAGTTTAGGGATTGAGGTTCGTAGTGGTAGGTATGACTACAAAAGAATAGCACAAGGGAGACTTGTAAAGAACAATTCTGTATCTTGATTGTGATGGTTTATAGAAAGCTCATGTTTCAAAAGTGCATTGATACACACACACACACACACACACACACACACACACACCAGGACATGTGCAAACTGAAGAAATCTGAAATAGTTTTGTTGATTGTACCAATGTCATTGTAGTTTTATTATTATATTACAATTATGTAAGATGTTAGCATTGAGGGAGGGTGAAGGGTGCTTGGATCTACCTGTACCATTCTTTGGAACTTCCTGTGAATCTATAATTTTTTCAAAATAAAATTTTAAGCAGACATAATATTAAAATAAACTCCTAGTACCAACCACTTGCTTTACAGTTGTTGGTTTATAGCCAATCTCTATTCTCTTCCTCCTCCCCCATATTATTTTGAAGCCATTCCCAGGTATATTCTTTTGTCCATAAATAATTCAGCAAAAGTAGGAATCATTTATTATCACAAATAACCACAATTCTATAAGTTTGAGCGTGGAAGGCATCTRATTCCTGGTCATTTTGCCTTCTTAATCCATTAATCACTACCTCAATTCATTAATTTATAARAATTATTTCTTTTTTTCCTTTACGGGTTTTCCTTTTTCCACCTTCTTTCCTTTCTTATCTTTTGGAGACGTCTTTCCTTTCTTTCGTGTTTTGATTAGTTCTTCATATTTCCCAAATCCTTTCCGTACCATGGTCCCACGCCACCATGCCTGGATCTGCAAACAAAGTAAACCCAAACTTAGCATCTGCTGATGTCATGATTGTTGCCTTTTTAATTTGGTCTGTCTCCTCTGGAACTCACGTGGATACGATTCCCAATGTAATGGCATTGAGAAGTGGTGGAATCTTTAAAAGCTGCTGGGCCATGCCGGCTTAACACACAGTCCTTGTTCTCATAGGACTGGGTTAATGACAGCAAGAGACAACGGTTACAAAGCAAGGCCTCCACTTGTGTGTTTCACCTCCTTTGGAATGTGCTCAATTGCACTTTCACCTTCTGCCATATTGTGACACCCTTTTCAGATACCATTGCTCTTGGACTTCCTGGCCTTGAGAACCATGAGCCAAATAAACCTTTATTTATTTTCTATGACTCACCTGTTCTCAGGTATTCTGTTATAGCAACAACAACAAAAATGGATTAAGACAATGATACACTGGAGATCATTAAATCTCTTTGTTCTGGTGTGTGGTCTTAAAGATGCAGAGAGTGGGAGGTGGCTTGAATTCTAAATCTTATATTCTATCTTTCTCAATCAGCCAATCAGTCAAGCAAAAAAAAAAAAAAAGTACTGTTCTACACATTTGGGAAACAGCAATTAAATATTAGTGTCCCTGAGTTTCTGAAGCTCACATTTCAGTGGGCAGAAAAAACAATAAACACATGTATATATATATATATTTTGACAGATGGTGACAAGTACTGTGGAGAATGACGTGCATAGAAATGGAAGCCTGGGGAATCCGTGTGTAACATCAGTTGCTATCCAACTGGGCTCCTACCTAAAACCAGCTCCCACTGGAGCCGGATCCTATTCCCTCGTTCCTACTCTGTTCCACTCACTCAGGAAAACCTCTCCTCTCATAATAGATTCTTATCAGAACTTCCTGTGGCCCCCGAATTCTCTCCAAAATTAAAGTCAAAGTCCTTCCAATGGCTTCAAGGCCCTATCTTATTTGCTTCCTCCCATGACGTCTTGGACCCCTTAACTAGTCTCTGTCTTGTTCACTCCCATCCACATGAGCCTCCTTCCTGCTCAGAGACACCAGACACAATCCTAAATTGGGGCCTTTGTACTCTCTCTGCCTCTAACCAACTTTCCAATGGTCAGAAGGGTTGATTCTCAAGTGTTTGCTTGATTGTCATTGCTATGGAGTGTACTGTGTTCCTCCAAATTCAGATCTTGAAGCCTTAACCTGCCATGTGGTGCTATTTGGAGGGGGGTTAGGGGAGTTAAGCTTAGATGAGAGCATGAATGTGGGGCCCTTAGGATGGGATTAGGGTCCTTTTAAGAGACATCAGAGACCTTGTGCTTCCCACCACACTTCTGCCATTTGAGTACAATACCCTGTTATGGCAGCCCTGGTGGACTACGGCAGCCGTCTTTTCCATGAGACCGCCCCTGATCATCTCCTGGAAATCAACACTCTCTCTGTTTACATACACACCAGTTCTGGAAATCTCAGTTCCCCTAAGTTTCAACTTATTTTTCCCCCAACAGCACTTATCATTTTTTATATAGTATAAAACTTTGTTTTATTTTTTTCATGGTTTTATTCCCCTCACACTAGGATTTAAAGCAATTCGAGGACAGAAATATTTGTGTTGTCCACTGATGTATTTCCAGTGCCTAGGATAGTGCCTGGGATATGGTAGAAAATTGATAAATATTTACTGATTAAATGAATGAGGTGGTAGGGCTATGCTGTCTTATATAAGGTAGATCAGGAAGGGCTCTTTCTCGTCAGAGGACTTTGGAGAAGACACTGAAGTGGGGACCAGAATCTTGCCTATATCTGGGGAAGGCATCTTTAGGTAGAGGAAAACCCTGAGGCAGGATGATGCTTGGTTCCTGGAAGAACACTCAGGATCTGATTTAAGTTGAAGAGAAAGATGGGGAGTGAAAACAGGGAGGTGATTATTTAAGGAACAGTGCGCCCTCTAGAGGCACTTTGGAAACATACAGTATTTTTTGTTTGGGTTAAGCAGTCTCTCATCATGTGATGTGTAGTCCGGATCACCACCTTCCTGAAAGGTGTGCAGGCAGGAGTAGCTTGAAAGCAATCTCTCTCCCAAGCTTCCACTTCCCTACTGCCCCTTCCTAAGATCAGCCTGGGAATACAACTGCTGATCCCCCTCACCACTGCCCTTCTGGCACTTTCCAGAGAACTGGCACACCTTGAATTCTTCTAGGTCTTACTATGAAGTATTGCCCTGGACTCAAAATGTCTGGAGTTTCAAGAGAAAGGACAATACAAAACACAAGGGTAGACATTGGGACCGCAAACGGCTCAAGGACTGAGGAATTCCAACTCTGCTTTCAAACAATAGAAGAAAAAAAAGGACAGAAATTAGAAGCAAAACTAGTTGATATGTCAGCTAAGACCTGCGTTCTCCTTTTAGATATATAAATATGGAAGAAGTTCAGAAATGTGTGAGGCATTATTATTTAAAACAAAATAATACAAAAAAACTTCCATTCTCACAACTCATCTTTGTGAATAAAGATTTACATGAGTAGAATCCATGATAAAACCTGTCTCCTTCTAGTAATTCACAATATTTATGCATGGTTATCGAAACAAAGTGCAAAAAAGTCCCTCTCATTTGGATATGTCTCACAATTATAAAAATTTGTAACAAATATGTTCTTTTAGATGATTTTATACTATTAGTAATTGTAATAAAATGGCCTAAAATATTGAAAAAACATGTTCACAGAAAAAAATTTAGTTTAAAAGTAGAATTTATATAAATGTTTTGTTGCCTAGCTGGACAAAAAGGCAACCTAAAAGAGTTAAGGAGCCAGCATGGTGGTATACACTTGTAATTCCATCAACTTCAGAGGCTGAGGCAAGAGGATTGCAAGTTGGAGGCTAGCCTCAGCAATTCAGTAACTTAGCTAGACCCTGTATCAACTACCCCCCTCCATACTGGAATAGAACCCAGGGCTGCTTAATCGCTGAGCCACATCTGCAGCCCTTTTTATTTTTTATTTTGAGACAGGTTCTCACTAAGTTACTGAGACTGGCTTTGAACTTGTGATCCTCCTGCCTCAGCCTCCTGAGCTGCTGGGATTACAGATTATGCCACTGATCCTGGCCTGTCTCAAATTTTAAAATAAATAAATAGGACTGGAGATATAGCTTAGTGGTATATTTCCCCTAGGTTTAATCCTTGTGTACCAAAAAGAAAAAGTAGGGGCTGGGGTCACAGCTCAGTGGTAAAGGGTTTGCCTTGCATGTGTGATCTTTTCTGGAAAAAAAAAATTCAGAAAAGAATAAAATAAAATATGTGTAAAACCTTAGTATCAGCTTTGAGGGAAAACGTAATAGAAATGAAGGTTATTCTGGACGAAGTGGCCCTTGCCTATAATCCCAGCAACTTGGGAGGCTGAGGCAGGAGGATCATGAGTTCAAAGCCAGCCTTAGCAATTTATGGATGCTCTAAGTAACTCAGTGAGACCTTATCTCTAAATAAAATATTAAAAAGGGCTGGGGATGTGGGTCAGTGGTGAAGCAGCCCTGGGTTCAATTCCCAGTACAAAAAAAAATTCTAATTTACTTTATAATTTATAACACAATTATAAAATTTCTTTATGTTGTAATTTGTGCATTATTTTGATTTATTGAAATGATGTTTTGATAGGTGATATTTTCTATTAAAATTTTAGAAAAGGAGATATCACAAATATTTCTTATAAAAGGGAGGGTAGTAAGTCTGATAGGGTTGAGAGTCATTGATAAAGAATCTTTCAGACCAAAGACTTTGATTCTTGCTCCARGTGAAAGAATAACTGTTGATTTCAGCAAAGAGTAGTGCTATTCAATCTATTTTAACAGGCTTTGTATGACTATTGAGTGGAGGCAGATTATAGGGAAAATGGATGTGGAAGTAGGGATGACAATTTGGGGACTAATGTAGTGACACTGGTAAGAGATGATGGGGACTTGACCCGCTGAAGAATAAAGAACATTGACAGGCTTGTCATGCCAGCAACTAGGGAGGCTGAGGCAGGAGGATTGCAAGTTCGAGGCCATCCTGAGCAACTTAGTGAGACTGTGTCTCAACATAAAAAACAAAAGGAGCTGGGGTATAACTCAGTGGTAAAGTACCCCTGGGTTCAATCCCCAGCACTGACTGAAGTGGACACCTCCTGGTCTGTCTGGCGCATTCTATGTCTCATGGACTCAATGGCCAAGAGCAGGATCCCAAGGCTCCTTGCCCTTTGATCCTGGCCCTGGCTCAGCAAAACTCTGGTCTCTGAGCTTCTGATCCACAAATGCTTTCATTTTTAATTTTTCAACTTCAATTTTCTGCCTTTGTTAATACAAGCTTTTTTCACTCAAGTGAAATCATTCAAGAATTTTAGATTGTTCTTGGGATTTAAAGTTTTGGTTTCCTTTGCTTGTGTGTTGGTTTCTTATTTGACAAGAGATAGGAGACATACAGGACAAAAATATGAGAGCCAAAATTTAAAAATTCTCTCAAAAATTCCATAAAAGTACCTAAGAGTCTCTTCCCTGAGGCTGGGGTTGTGGCTCAGTGGAAGAGCACCCACCTAGGGCATGTGAGGCCCTGGGTTCAATCCCCAACATCACATTAAAATAATAAATAAAACAAAGGTATTGTGTCCAACTACAACTAAAAAAATAAATATTAAAAAAAAGAGTCTCTTCCCAAGAAGGACAAGGTAGAGAAATATAAAAACCGGCTCCATAGAAAAATTTCCAATTTGTTTAACACTAGACCCCGCAAATGTGTTAACAAGAATCTGTGCTGATTTTACCTTTGTGACCATTATTTTCTTTCTTCTGTTTTCCTTAAGGTGGTTCCATATGGCCTCATTTCCTTGAGCACACACTTCTTCAGGGGGATCTTCCATGGGGTTGTCCATCAGTGTAAGAACCTTAAGGTTCACCAGGCGGTCCAAATTCTCTGGGAGATGGGTGAGCAAGTTGTTCTCTAGCAGCAACTCTTTCAAGCCTAGAAAGATTTTGGTTTCAAATGGATTTTGGCTGGGGATGTGGCTTAGTGGTAGAGCCTAGCATGCACAAGGCCCTGGGCTCGATCCCCAGCACCATGATAAATAAATAAATAAATAATAACAATATATGTATATGTAAAAGGAATAAACAATGACTCTGGGGTGTAACTAAAGGAAAGTTATCCAATTAACTTTGTCAAATGGTGATTTTTTATCTTAAGAACAAGCAACATTAACTTGGCTCCTAAACCTGTCCAGTATTTGAGGGATCCACCTCTGCATTAGTAAGAGAAATCAGAGCACAGATGTATAAGAACGGACAAATATTTTCATTTCATATAATAAAAAGCCCATCTCTACGTGTCTTCTTCCTCATAATAGAGAAAGTAGAAACTCAGCAATTGGATATTCTTATCCTTCTAAGAGTGGATGTCGTCTTTGGGGTTTTCTTTCATTTGTTTGGTTTTGCTTTTATTTTATAGCAGTAGTTGCCAACTGACGGCTCACTGGAAAAAAATGCCCTCAGACTTGTTTCTTAGATCAGCAGAATATTGGAAGACCTGGCTCTGTGCCTTTGGATGGGACACTCCAGTAGCCTACAAGCCTTGCTACTTCCTATTATCACTCCAGGGTTGGACACATGGATGTGACCTGTCTAGTCAATAGAGAGAGTGGAACGTGGGGCATCTGACTCACATAGTCATTTCTCTACCACTCTCAAGTTAATAAGCAAATTATTTTTTTGAAAAATTGTATACTTTCTGATATAAAAGTAACCTCATATAAATAAACAAAGTATAAAAATGATTCCCCCTTTCATACCAACCCTGTCACATCTTAACTGTCACAAGGAACCACTGTTATCAGATTTCTGTGAGTCCTTACAGAAAGTATCTAGGCACTTGCAGGTCTACAGATACATGCACATAAAACTTTACAAAATGATAACATACTATAATGGTTCAGATCTATATTTTGCAAGGAAATATCTTAAACTCTTCATTGAAAGAGAAATAAAAATGACTAGTAAACCTGGGAAAGATACTCAACATCACCCAATGAAAACAAATGCAAATGAAACACCAAAATGCAGTATTTCATTAATCCTATAGGCAGAGATGAAAAGTTTGATAATACTCAGTATAAAGGAGGGAGAAGAGAAAAATTTTATTTAAATCGTACTCTGTGATAAATGGCTTACAAACTCAGCTACTTTTCTCTACTTGATTTACCGAAGAAAAGATAAATACAGGGAAATTTTGATTTGTATGTTTCGTGAACATAATACAAATCATATGCATAATAAAAATCAGGCAAAATTAAAATATGCATTTGTTAGTCCAGTTATTTTGAAACACTTATTTCCTGCCATGTACAAGAGGCATCTGATTTAATGGGGCAAACCAAGTTCTCTTCTTCATAACAACAGGAAGTATTTAGGCTAGTGTAAATAAATACTAGGGACAGGAAGAGAGTTAACACTGAAAATTTTGAGAATATTTTACTCCTCCAGGGACCAAGAACAGGAGCATTCCCACACCTGACCTTGATTTTTGAAATGTCTTGTATGCAGGTGACAACTTCAACTCTCATATTTCTTCACCTCCTTTCATTGAATAGCCACAGTTTAAAAACATGTCAGTAAACCTGGAGATTCATCAGAGTGTGGCCAAAAAATTTCATCTGGTCCTAGTAGGTACTCAACAAAAGCTTGTTAAGTAGATGGATGGATGAATGGCTAGGTAGACAGATGAATGGTTCCATGGATGGATACATGTGCAGACAAAAAATTTAGCCCAGTGGAAAATATTTGGGTACTTTTTTTTTTGGTACAGAAACTATCAAGGCACATGCAGGTCTACACATACATGCACATAAAACTTCATCAAAATGGTAAACATACTATAATGAATGGTCAGAATCTATATTTTATTTTTTGAGAGAAGATCTCACTAAGTTGCTGAGGCTAGCCTTGATCTTGTGATCCTCCTACCTCAGGCTTTCAGGAGTGTCTGGAATTACAACTGTGYGTGACCATGCCTGGCTTGTTATGTGATTTTCCAAGTCAATCATTTAATTGCAAAAGTCCATTCTTGATTTCACCATTCTATGCCATACTTTTCCTTTTATTCAAGTGACTGGTGTCCTATATGAAAATTTATTGCAGGACCCCCACTCAAAATTCKGACATATAAGATGTATTCAGTAAACTTCTGCTGATGGTAGGTGTACTTATGCTAATTTTTTCAGCAGTTGCTATTAATTTCTCTTTCCAACTCAAATTACAACCTACGTGTATAAAACTCTTAACCTCATGATCAGGGCCTGGCCTCTCCCACGTCACTCACTAGTGAGCCCTGAAAGGAGGTAGTGGGACAGGGCTCGGTTCTCCAAGCACCGAGATGGATCTTTAATAAGGCAACAAAGATGTTCATCATGGGACTGTTGACTGCAGACTCTCCTAGGTGTGAGTCTAATAAGTTTCTCACCTTGTGCTTGGCAAATGGCATTTGGGAGTTGCTTAAGCAAATTGTGCCGGCAATCAAGAACTTCCAGGTTAGGCATTGTTCCCAAGGATACAGGCAGGAACTCCAGATGATTGTTCTCTACATACAATTCTTTAAGACTCTGAAATAACATGATAGTACACCACAATAATCCTTATCTTGAAAAAATGAATTATAATAACCGAAATCCCCTTTGAGTGCCTATGAGTACTCAATGGAAAATCATGCATTGGGATAAAAGGAAAAACAAATTTGAAGGATCATCATCAACTATTAAAATTATTTTTTAATAAAGATTTAGTTTCCATTTATTCGGGGAAAAGAAAATATGGAAAATTTATCTTACTACAACTTTACAGAAAAATAGTGTGGACAATTTAACTGCATTTATCACTTGCTTCCTTTCAATAACTAGTTATCCACAGAAGTTATGAGAGAATTATAATTGCTTCAGCTATCAACCTAACATTGACTTAAGTAGAAGTAGACAAAATGCACTGATAATGGGTTTGGGTTCAATAACTATTTCCAACTTTCCTGGGTAAAAATTCAGTGTTTGCATTTCACTTTTTGATTGTGGTATAACATGTACAAGGAGCTAGAAGACAAAAGTTGTTCTATGAACATAGGGTAGAGGCATGGGGAATTAGGAACAGGACTTCTATGTCACAGTGAGGATTACCTGTTATACATGCCATGTTGGTCAGTTCCATGACTGGGGGGTTTTATGGTAGCCCACACTTCTATATATCATCTATCTATCCTATCTATCATCTATCTATTCTGGGAATTGAATCCATAGTTACTTTTTCACTGAGCTACATCCCTAGCCCTTTCCTTTTTTTTCTTTTTTTTTTTTTTTTTTTGTTGTTGTTGTTATTGAGGCAGGGTCTCACTGTCTCAAAATAAATTGCTGAGACTGGCCTCAAACTTGCAATCCTCCTGACTCAGCCTCTCAAATCACTGGATTACTGGCATGTACCACTGCACCCAGCTATCTACTTTATCATTATTAAGAATTCAGTAACATGGGGAAAACACCAGTCCTTTAAAAGATGAATATATAAAAAGATGCCAGTAAGCCTCCTCTTAATGAAGCTATCTTGTTACTTTGGTAGGATTCAGCACAGTCCTGTGGACCGTCCCATCATCAGCAGGAACCTGGTGCAACATAATTTGCTCATCTCCAAGCAGGGAGGGAGCTCACACCGCCTCTTGGAGGGAATCCTTTCTACCAGAATGCAGACCCTGGTCGTGCCATTAGTACAGTACTCTAGCTTGAAAATAGTACAGTTTTCAGGGGGCTACTTACCAACATGCAAATGTATTTGAAAGAAGTGTAACTTAATTTCTACAACTGGAACATGACCAAACCCACAATGGAAATAAATATGGCATGACATATCCAGCAGTGATCATCATGTGGTATGGGTTGTTCAGTGACAGCAAAACCTCAAACTGTAAAAATGACTACTTGTTTGGAACTGAAAATCTAACATGGATGATCCTATACCCAGCTTCTGGGGCACCTTGTGTTTTCTTAGGCCCTGTATTTAGGGGTAAGTGGCCTGCTTCTGTCTTCATTTGGGACTTACCTGTAATTTCCCAATGTGTTCTGGCACTTGGGTAAGCTTGGATCCCTGGTCTTGCCCCATGTATAACTTCTCTAGAGACACCAAAGAAAAGATTTCCTCTGGGAAGGAAGAGAACTCATTTCCTGATAGTCCAAGTATCTTCAGTTTCGAAAGTAAGCCCAACTCCAAAGGCAACTAGAAGTATTCCAAAGAGATGAGTTTAAAATCAAGATTATCTTTAACAGTCAGAAAATAAATGCCACTTCTGGTTTTGAGGCAGATTGCTAAATGAAAAGTAGGGCAAGGCAGCATCTCTTACTGTGAAAAGTTTACACATGCAGTATATTTACTTGTAGATCATAACTCTGAAATTCTACCTTTTTTCCTATCACCTTTCTGGTTCCCACTTTTATGCACTACTTTAAATCGGAGTGATTATAACATGCTTTATTGCAAATTTTTGAACTCTCATATGGTAAATGCCTGATACTTTTAAAAGAAAAGGTACTGTGGTTGTATGATATTGCAGTGATAATTAATTCTTAATAAATTCAGTTACCAGAACTGACAAATTTAGTAATGTGACTCTCATCCTTTACAGTAAAGACTTTATTTATTGTGCTACCAAGGATTGAACCCAGGGGTGCTTTTTCGTTGAGCTACTTCCCCATCTCTTTTATTTATTTATTTATTTATTTTGAGACAAGGAGGTCTTGCTAAGTTACTGAGGCTGACTTCCAACTTGTAATCCTCCTGCCTTAGCCTCTTGAGTCACTGGGTTTACAGGTGTATGACACCACATCGGGCCTTAAAGGCTTTAATTGAGCAATTTTGAAACCCCAGTTGAAATCTCAGTTGGAAACAAACATGTGTTCATATCATTTCCAATTGGAGCATTTGGTGAAGACTATTATGACCCTCACTTGTCACGTTCTGCTTTCCAGTGAATACCAAAGCTCTAGTGTCCCATATGAGTAATGGGTGGGCATCTCACAGATAGCCAAACTTCTGGGGTTGGAAGCCTGTAGGGAGGTTCTGTGCCACCACTGTGATAACTAGCCACCTAGGCTCCTAGTTACCCATCACCTGGAAAGACAAGTTCATTACCTTCAGCCAATACCTATAAACATCAGATTCCCTTCTTTCAACAAATCATAATCTGCATGACTATCATGTTCACCAATCAGTCTCTTTCTGGCTCTCTTGAACCTCGTGGAAAAAAATCTCATTTTTAAAATGTATATGACATAATCACACTATTAATTGTATTACAGATTTTCTTRTAGAAAGAAAAAAGCCCAGCCATGCATCTCATCTGCTTCTCACGTACTTCTGAATTTGGTTTTATTCCTGACCAGGAAATCCTTTCTCCTAGTTCCCCTGCATTACCCTTGGGCATTCTTCCCACCCATTCCCTAATCTGCTACCCTGCTTTCCATTCTGGTTTGACCTCAGCTCATCGAAGGCCCCCTCTCCCTCACACCTCGACAGCTGAGTGGAAGATCACTGGTGAACGGTCACTCACAGTTGGCAGGGGAAAAGCCCACCAGATGTATAACTTATCTGTTAAAGTCTCACACACCTGGAATCATCCAGAAGACATTTTTCTTTTGTGTGTGCATAAAATATGGTCTCACTTTCCCAATACTTTTAAAATGTTTTCAGTTTTAAAAATTTACTTTTTAAAAAATGTATTTTTATTTTATCATCGTTATTATTATTATTATTATTATTACCACCAGTTTGAGGCTGGCCTTAAACTTGCCATCCTCTTGCCTCGGCCTCCCAGGCCACTGGGATTAACAATCATGTGCCATCATACACAGTTATTTATTTAGTTTAAAAAATCAGATAAGTCAATCTTCAGAGAAATTGATGTTTAAACTCTTCTCCTTGGTTTTTAAAAATTCTTCATCAGGCATTTTATTTCCTTCCATACAAAGCACCTGCATGCTGGGCATGAGGTAGCACATACCTTTAATCCCAGCAACCCAGGAGGCTAAGGCAGAAGAATAGCAAGTTCCAGATCAGCCTCAGCAACTTAGCAAGACACTGAAATAATATTTTTAAAAAATAAAATAAATAACAAATAAAAAGGACTGCAGATGTAGCTAAGTGATAAAGCATCTCTGGGTTCAACCCTCAATACCAAGAAGAAGGAGAAGAAGAAGAAAGCACCTGTGTTCGGTGCAATTCAAAAGAATGGGAAAAGATTTTTCAATCTAATAACTTTATTTTAACCTAGTGATTTTGCTCTTATTGCTGTTTACTTAACACATAGGTTTAGCTTTTCTTTTTCAAAGTATATTGAATGTTCAGAGATTTTTTTCAGGATCCAATATTTAGATTCTCATAGTCATATTAAAGTATAATGGAAATAAATCTGGATATAGAGTGAATCTACAGCACATCAATAGAGGGGAATGATTGCTGGCACTATAATTGAGCTATGCCATTTTGATGTTGAATCCATTGTTTTGGTTTTCTCCCTTAATAGAAATCTACAGTACAAATTAAGTCCATGCATCAAACATCAGCTGATGTTTGATGCATGGACTTAATTTTAACAGAAGCCATTGGTCAGGCTTCAAGAGCCAAAAACCCATCAGCTGAGATTTTGGGATGGGAGAGATAAGAAGCTAGTTTGAAGGTCATGTGTCATTAAGGAGAGAAACGCCCTGGAGGTTACATGTGGAATTAGCCTAAGAGGAAAACTAGAAAGAAGGACAAAAGCACAAAACATGCCATCAGAATAATTAAAGATAAAAGCAATGGTACATAGAGATTTTTGTGTTCAATATAAAAATATTTATCATGTCTACATTGCAGTACAGTTTCATTTACAGTAACTCGTGGTATTGAATAAGGTTTATCTTTGTCAACAAGCAGTCTCTGTATGACTCTGACCTCTTAAAATTTCTCAAGAAAGGATTAGGTATCCTTTATAACTTGATAGGAATGAAGTCAATGTGTTTTCTTTCCCCAAAGCACTTTATGTTTTAATTCCTTTTACTTCAACTCTAGAATGAAAGGCTTGTCCACTAAAAAGAATTTCTTATATAAGCAGTTGAATAGTGGGGGGGAATTTGCTGTCATGTACAATGGAACCTTGAAAATTCTCCAAGGTGGGGTGCTACCTTAGTAGAGAGTAAGTCTTAGATTCTCTTGGTATATTTCAGATTGCCATCAAAATGTAGTTTTAAAACCCCACAGCAATAGAGTGCTCAATAAGTATATGTTGAATACTTTTCTATAAAATAAAATTGTGAAACCTAAAAAGAAAAGAAAACCCCATAGCAATTAGGAAAAAGTTTTAGAAATTGCAAATCAAAAATATTTAAAATATAGCTGGGCAGGGTAGTGTATGCCTATAATCCGAGCAGCTTGGGAGGCTGAGACAGGAGGATTTTGAGTTTAAAGCCAGCCTCAGCAATGGGGAGGCACTGGGCAACTCAGTAAGACCCTGTCTCTAAATAAAATACAAAATAGGCTGGGGATGTGACTCAGTGGTTGAGTACCCCTGAGTTCAATCCCTATTACCCCCCACAAATATTTAAAATATAAATCCATTAGGCCCAGGATATTTTATAACTTATGGTGAATATATGAGATTGGTGTCCATGGCCAGGAAAATCAGAACTATTATTTGGTTCCAGATTTTGATTTCCAAAATCTCCCTTTTCTCTCTCTGCAGTTGCCCTTTGCTTGAAATAGCAACTCTATTCTTTTTAATTTTCAAATATTAATAAATAATAAAGATAAAAACACATGCATGCCCACTGCACAAATCTTTTAATAAACACAATGAAATTCTAATATTAAAGTCGCCCACTGCACAAATCTTTTAATAAACACAATGAAATTCTAATATTAAAGTCACTTCCTTATTATCCCTTCCCCATTTTGTTGACTTTTCTTTTCTCTTCCAAGAGGCATCTACCATCAAGAATTTAGTCATTTTCCTTTCAATTTATATTTACATACTTTTATTATGTACACAAATATCCATAAAAATACATATMTATGTGTATATGTATACACATACATATATATGGATGTATACATGTGTGATTTTTTTGTGATTTAATAATGTACAAAAATGATAAAGTTCCACAATTTTGTGGCTTTTTAGTCAATACTAAAATTTGAGTTCTAGGCTGAGGATGTGGCTCAAGCGGTAGCGCCTTTCGCCTGGCATGCGTTCGGCCAGGGTTTGATCCTCAGCACCACATACAAAGATGTTGTGTCTGCTGAAAACTAAAAGATAAATATTAAAAAATTCTCCCTCCACCCCCCTCTCTCTTAAAAAAAAAAAAAAGAACTGCTGATCTAAAGTGCTCAGAACCAGAAAATATTTACTGTGGTTCTTATTCTAAAATTTGAGTTCCATCCACCTTCACGTATATAGTTCCAGTTCTTAGATTATGGTACAGCATTCTATGTTACAAATGTACCACAGTTGATTTTGCCCAATCCCCTACTAAGGGACATTCAGATTGTCTCCCATACTTCATGATTATCAACAATGCTATAATGACCAATTTGAACTATAAGCCTGCACACCTGTGGGARATTAGGAACAAATCTGTGCAGTTTCCCATGAATGGGAACATTTAGGTCTAAATGTATGTGTAAGAAAAACCTGCTGTTTATGGAAACCCTGTCAGGAAGTAGACTTTATTATAGACCCTGGAGGCCAGCAGCTGTGGGTTGGGCTCTGGCTCTATCACTTACAGGCTGTGTGGCCTTGGACAAGTTCAGCTCCCTGCCTGTCATTTTCCTCACGTGCCACCAAAGACAAAAAAAAAAAAAAAAAAGTCATTGTGAGGATTAAACAAAATAAGAGGTGTAAAATACTTAGCTTGATGACTGGCACATACAGGTTCTAATTAAATATTAGCTGCTATTTATGATAGCCACTGCTATTTACAGGAAAACAGTACAAAGTACCCCTCCCCTGGAGGATATATTTGGTCACACTGAATTTTCACCCATAAAGTCAGTTCAGATTTTCTGTTTACACACAGAACACACCAACTTAGGACAGGAAGAGCCCCAAGAAGATAGTGACAGCAGGGAAGGGAGTCAGTACCTTCCCTATTTGATTATCATCCATCGCCAGGATTTCCAGGTTCTTCAGCCCACAGATCAGCTTCGGAAAGTGGTCCAGGTGGTTCTGGCTGAGATCCAGGAAGCGCAAGTTGTCCAGCCGCTTAAAGGAGCGCCGCAGCGCGCACAGGCCGGTGTCGCGCAGGTAGAGCAGGTGCAGCGAGGTCCACTTGCAGATAAGGCGCGGCACCTTCTCCAGGCGGTTCCCACTCAGCCCCATTTCCGTCATCTCCAGGAGCTCACTAAAGGTACGCGGGATGGAATGGAGAAGGTTGTGAGATAAATCGAGCACTGATATTTCCCTACACTGGCCCAGAGACTCGGGCAAAAAGGTCAGGTTGTTAAAAGCCACATAGAACTTCTGCAGCCTCGTCAGATTCCCGATTTCCTCTGGGATGGCAGTTAGTTTGTTCTCGTCCAGGTCGATGATCTCCAGGTCRTAGAGGACACAGAGTTCCTGCGGGAACTCCTTGAACTGGTTTTTCCTCAGGTAGATTTCCCTTAGTTTGGTCTGGTTCACTATTTCCTTCGGTAGCGATTCCAGGTGATTTCCAGCCAGTCCCAGCAGTTCCAGATGGCGAAGGCTTTTGCAGATCAGGATGGGAATCTCCCTCAGGTCAGTCTGGTAGAGCCGGAGCTCCCGCAGGGAGCGGAGGCTGCTGATGACTGGGAGGGAAGAGGAGAGGAGGGGGTTGTAACTGAGGTCCAGGCCCTCCAGGTTGCTCAGCGTCCCCAGCTCCAGGCACAGGTCGTGCAGTTTGTTCTTATTCAGGTAGAGGATCCTGACATTCTTTAATTGCTGAATGTCCTCGGGTATTGCTTCAATCTGGTTATTTTCCAAATGCACTTCTTCTAATTCCTTTAATGCCAAGATCTCCAGTGGAATGGCAGTCAGGCTTTGATTAGAAGCGTCGATGAAGAATGTCCTATCTGTGACCTGTGGTGGATCATTTCTCAGAAGAACTTTAGGTGAATGTTCTTGTAATTTTAGTAAATCCTTTGACATTATTTTGGAGAATAATTCAAATATTCAAAATCCAAAATACTATGAAAAGAAAAATATCAGAAATCTCCGGTCAACAGATTTGCTATCTCTACAAAAGAAAACAATTAAGATCTCACTGATTAAATTTGGTGCTTGAAATTATTATGCAACCTAAAATTTAGACTTTTGTGTTTCATGTTAGGATAAGAATTAAAGTATAGGCTCCTCTTTCTCCTAACAGGCTGACTCACATGGAAAAAAGGCGGGGAGAGTCTAATACCAGTTTCTAAAAATGCTTATAGATAGGCTATAGAAGTTTGCAAAATATTGTTTTGCCATAACACTGAGGGAAAAATAGAAATGGAATCATATTTTTAAAATGTTATTATTTTCCTTAAAGCCACTAGGCTGAAGACAGCTAAAAGAATGAAATTCTACACATGGACCAGCTGTTTTTATGTAAGTAGAGGCCAGTGATGGGGCCCTTTCATGCCTGGCATGTTTCACATTTGGGGCTGGCAGGCAGAGAAGAGTTTCTGGGAGGAGGACAGCTAGTCAAACTTTTTACCAGCCCTGTGTGGGTTGGCATAGGAGGTTAGAATCTGGAGTGTTCTCAAGTTTAGAATCAGTTCTCCCCACTAGATAGATGTCCTCTATTAAACTTTGGCTGACTAAGTGGCTGTAGGGAAAGTCACAGGCTGGATTAAAAAGCGGAGAACCTGTAGATTTCATGTTTTAGATCTCCAAGTCTGGCTGGAGGAATGGGCTTAAAACCCTAAGCAATATTTTTAAATGGCAGAGATTTTAACCAAAGCTGTAAACAAGAAATTAAAAACCTAAATAAATGAAGATATAAAGGATGCCAGTGGATTAGAATATGCAATAAGGTTGAAATGCCAAAGATCCACCAATTTAATCTCTAGTTTCAATGTAATAGCAATACAAATCTCAGCAAAATTTTTTTTTCTTTTTAGTAAAAATTGATAAGCATTTTATATGGGAAAATCTTCCTGTTTTTCTTAGAAAGCAAGAGATAAAAAAACTTCTCTGTGAAAGATGGCCTCCCTAAACCAGGAGCAAGGTAACACTCTTCAATGGGAGTCATAGCTGAGAGAATTCTGTACAAACAGACCTTGTTAAAAATAATTCCTAGACAGGCATTCACCATGGGTTTGGTGGCACATGCCTGTAATCCTAGCAACTCAGAAGGCTGGGGCCGGAGTTCACGGCCAGTCTTAGCAACTTAGTGAGACCGTATCTCAAAATAAATGAATGAATCAATGAATCAATGAATCAATCAATCAATCAATCAATCAATGGTCTGGGGATGTGATCAGTGGTTAAGCATCCCTAGGTTCAATCCCTGATACTAAAAAAAAAAAAAAAAAATCCAATCTTCCTTAAGCCTCCCCACATAATTTTGTTACTTTTCCAGAATTGCCTTTCTTTGTTCAACATAATCTAAAAGTATGTAGGTTTTGCCACTTCTTTGGGTCTACATTTTCTTACAAGAGCTCTCATACCTTGTTAAATTTATATTGTTTGTATGATTTTCTTCTGCTTACCTATTTTATGTCAAATTAATTTTCAGGTTCAGACAGGGATATTAGTGGGGTAAAGTCTTGTCTACCTTATAGTAACGTTACCCTTTTCTTTGATTAAAACAAACTTCTGGGAAACTATAAAATCCCTTGAAATGAAGTTCCATATAAGCTGGAGTGAACTTCTTGTTATAAGAGAGTTAGATATTTAACAGTGGGTGAAGAGAATCTCAAAGTTTCAGACAATCATAAAAGTAGAGTTTGGGGGGCTGGGGTTGTAGCTCAGTGGTAGAGCACTTGCCTACCATGTGTGAAGCCCTGGGTTCAGTCCTCAGCACCACATAAAGATAAATAAATAAAATAAAGGTATTGTGTCCATCAACTAAAAAAAATTTTTTAAAAGAGTAGAGTTTGGAATTTTTAGATCCTTGATATGTTTTATGCTTAAGAAAAATGGTAGAATCAGCAGCCACCATCTTGGAAAGCTGAAGTATACACCACCACTCTCCAACAGATTGCAACATCAAAACAAGTGTGTGTCACTCAGCTCACCCCCCAGACATCGGGGAATTTGCATAAAATCTCTCCTAGGCTTTCCGGGGGAGGGAGTATCAGAGTGAGCCTCCATAAAGACTAGGGGGAAACTAGAGACACCTGACCTCCAACCCCTTCTCCCAGTAGCAGCCAAAAACGAAACCTGGCTAGCCAGCACTGGGGGAGGGGCAAGCAGAAAAAATCAAAGCGATAGAGTGCCAGGGATCCCAATAGCCAGCAGTGGGACCCCGGAGATCCAGGCCGACTGATTCTCGCGGCCTGCCCCGCGGCTACAGAAGGCGGGGCGCCGCAGAGAAGCGATTAATTAGCAAGCAGGGAGAAAAGTGGCTGCGAGTCGGTGGCATCCCGCCAGCCAAGCCAACACTGACCCCCGGGCTGAGTACGGGATTTCAGACGAGGAAGAAAGCGGTACAGTCCCATCCCCCACAACAGAAACAAAACAATAGAGTGCCGGGGTTCCCAATAGTCACCCTCCACACCCAACAAACGGCAGGCCCAGAGTACAGTTTGAACTGCCGAGAGCCATCACTCAGGGGAAATCTGGTCTAGCAGGAGAAACCAAGACTAGCAGGAGAAACCAGGAGACTAGAGGAAAGGCCCTCGCGACTGGGTGGCTGGAAACCGCAGGCCCGCCGGCGACAGTTCACCCACTGCCTGCGTAACTGGGCGGTAGGAGAACGCCGCCTTCAGGCGACCGATCACCCGCCCTCGGCCTGTGATACTGGGTGGCTGGAGACCGCCCACCTGCCGCGACCGGGAACTAAAACCAAACAGAGATAGTCCAGTCACACCCCCCCATTAGGACACCCCAGCAAGGAGCCTGGGGCCCGCCATAGCAGAGCAGTGTCGTCAGTGGAGCTCTGACGTTGGAATCCCTTCCCAGCGGAATCCATGTTAGGCAGGCATAATTTAACAACACAAAGGAGAGACATCAGAGTAATACAGAACCAAAACAAAGCTATAGAAGAGAGCAGAAACACGACAATCAAAAGGAGCTGGAAAGTAACGTGGACAACATGAGAAAACAAGGGAAAAAAGGAGTACAAACAATGCAAGACAACTTAATTCTATAGGAGGACATAGAATCATCAGAAGCAGGGATAGGGAAAGAACTCAAGGCATACCTAACTCAAATGGAAAGGAATATTAGAGAAGACGTGAGACAGCAAGTCCAAGAAATAAAAGTATATTTTGAAAATGAATTAAACAAATTCAAATGGCAAAGAACGAGCTCTACCAGGGGATAGAGATCTTAAAAAAAAATCAAACAATAATCCTAGAATTGCAGGAAACTATAAACCAAATTAAAAACTCAAACGAGAATATTACAAATAGACTTGATCAAGTAGAAGTCAGAACATCAGATAATGAAGACAAGGTTTATCAACTTGAAAAGAGTATAGTCAACACAGAAAAGATGCTTAAATCCCACGAGCAAACTATTCAA